ACTGCTGCCTCTGATACAGAGGCAGAAGTGCAGAGATGGGGGGGACTGTGTGTAATCATGAAGATTAACCGATGAGCCCAGGCTCCATGGTTAACCATTTAAACCTGTATATTAACACACCACTAGTTGTGATCCAAGTAGCCAAGGCAATCAATACTACTCTGCTACGGAGTATAGTGACTCTGGGAAAAGCGGACAATGTCATGGAGAGCTTTGCTGCGATGAGGTTCCCTAACTGTGGCGGGGGTAGAAAGATAGAATGCACATCTCCATCTTGGCACTGGGCCACCCTGCAGAGGAGTACATAAACCACAAGGGTTATTTCTCGATGGTGCTGCAGGTGCTGGAGGACCATAAAGGCCATTTCACCGACATCCATGCGGGATGGTTGGGAAAGGTGCACACTGCAAGCATCTTTAGGAACTCCTATCTCTTCAGCAAGCTGGAACTTTATTCCCAGACCAGAAAATTAGAGTCAGAAACATTAAAGTGCTGATAGTGGTCCTTGGTGACCCAGCCTCCCTCTTGGTCCTGTGGCTCATGGAGCCGTACACAGGCAGCCCAGACCACAGCAAGGAGCAGTTCAACTACAGGCTAAACAAGTGCAGAATGACGGTAGAACGTGCTTTTGGGCGTTCAAGGGAAGGCTCTGCGGTCTACTAGCTAGGTTAGAGCTCGGCAAATGCAACATTCCCATTGTGGTGGCAGCCTGCTGGGTGCTCCATAATATTTGTGAAATCAAGGAGGAAATGTATCTGTTAGGGCGGGATACTGAGGCACAGCCTAGTCAGGGATTTTGTACAGCCAGATATCAGGCCAATAAGGAAGGAGCATAAGCAGAGGCAGTGCAAACCAGAGAAGCTTTGAAAGAGTTTTATGAATGGCCATTTTTGAGAGTCATGCATGTTGCTCTCAACTAGGGATGTAAAATCCTGCGTCATTGGTTAAGGCGGGGGTGGGGATACTCAGGCCTGGAGGCCAAATGCAGCCTGCAGCTTGTCTGGATCTGGACCTCAAGGCTCAGCACTGGAGAGTCCCTGCTGGAGCTTCACCCCCTTTGCCACCCACCTGCTGGCCTAGAGCAAACAAAAATCCACTAGCCTGGGCCCCCCTAGGCTCTGGTGTGCGAGGGGAATGTGTGTGTGTGTGGGGGGGGATCTCTCTTTTTCTCAGTAAGGGGCTTCTCACTTTGCTTCTCCCTTGTGTGCAGCCCCCAGCTGATTTTTCTATGGGACAGTGGGGTTAAGTGGTTAACCAATTACAAGGGGACAGGCTGGACAGCCCCTTGCGTGCAGCAAGCAGGGCCCGGGGCTGGAGCGGCTCCCCCTGGTGATTCAGAACCAGTAAACACCACCCATTATGGATGATGCTTTCTGGTTAACCAGTTAACCTTTCACATCCCTACTCTCAGCGAGGTGCTCCTGCATTCAGTGTGCCTGCCTGTACTCCCCCACCCCTTCCACACAAGCAATAAAGAGATGTTGTTCAGAAATCCGGCATTTTTATTTCAGGAACACAGCAAGGACAGAAGAGGAGTCCAAGGCGGGAGGTTTGGGTGTGTATGTGTGTGTGTGCACGCGTGCATGCACGCACAGCCTTTTGCTTCAGGACACATCCCTGGAGGTTGAGTGTGAGGCTGCCCTTGACTTCTCCGCCCCCCACCCCCTTCCTGCATCCCAAGGGCCCTGGGAGAGGAGGAGATGGAACTTGGTGAGGAGAGAATGTCAGTCTGCAAGGGGAGGGGGAGAGGTGCCTGTTCAGGTAGGTGTCCTGGAAAGCCGCCATGTGGTCCATCACAGCCATCATGGACAACACCTTCTCCTGGTGCTTCACTTCCAGTTCCCTGCATGCTCTCCTTTTCTGATGCGCTGCGCGTGTCTCCTCCAGCAGCACATTCCTCCACTCGCTTACACGCTCCCTGTCCAAGTTGGCAGATTGCATTTGCTCCTTGAACATCTCTTCCCTAGTCCGTTTTCACCTGCAGATTTGTGCCAGGCAGACAGCTGGTGGGGCTGGGGGAGCACACAGCATGCTGACTGCTGTTCCCACTGTAACGAAAAGCGAAGGGCAGACTTTGCAGGAGATCCCTTGTGGACTGTAAAATCAAATCTGTTCAAATAAAATGAAGGTCTGTCTAAAGGCAATAGGGATGTGTTCTGTATAAGGACACGGATATGCTTAAGTGGGCATCTTACGGCAGGTACACCATAGAGCAGCTTGATTCTATTTGGTGACAAGCATGGTAAGGGACAGGCCAAGGCATGAGCCTGCAGGGAAGGAGGAGAAAGGGGTCTGGGCATGGTGGCACGGCAGGGGTTACGTGGCACCCACGTGTGCAGCATCCCCTCTCCTCGTTTACCAGGAGAGTGCAACTTTCCCTTCCTGCAGAAGCAGGCAGGAGGGAGGAGGTCTGGGTCTCAAGCCATGCTTCTGGGATGAGCAAACGGAGGTTTTGTAGAGGCATCAGCTAATAGCCTTCCCTGCTTCATGTAGATTGCCATGCAATACATCTGCCGAATCACACATAGGGGCAGGGAACAGATACTGACTGAATGTGGCCAGAAACCTGGACTGTACGCTGCAATGCTTTGTTCTTCAATGACTCCAGGCCACTTACTACTGGCTTGGCGTGGAAAGGTGTCCTACCGTGGAGGACGGAATAAGGCAGGCCTCCCTAGAAAACTTGTGAGAAGGATTGAAGAATTCCTCTGAGGGCTTTATGGGGATGTGCAGGGGGGTAGTCCCACTCCATCTCCAGACACATTAACTAGCTATTCCAGGGATCTCTCCCCGTGTAGGCAAAGTGGTTGCTACAGATCACATCCAATTATTGCCGTAACCCACTTTTAGCAAGATAAAATAATAATTGGAACTCATAAGAAGTGTTCTCCCTGGGATCAGTGCTCAGCTGAGAAGGGGGACTATAAAAAGTTCTTGACTCTCAGTGACCTTGGTCACCCCGCTCACCTTTCTGCTCCTCCACCATGCTGTTCCTCCGTGCTGCTGCCAGAGGTTGCTTGCGTGTCCTGGGAGGAATCCATGGACTGGCTAGGGAAGCTGGTCGGGTTCCCCTCCCACACATATTGCATGCAACCACTCATAGAAGTGGCATGTTTGTGGCAATGCTCCAGACCATCCATTTGCCTCCTTTGTCTTTTGGTTCAACAGCCTCAGTTCCTTTATTTTCCCTTTGCACCATTGGGCAGAGCCCTTTTCCTCCATGCCCTTTGTGATCTTGGCATAGATACTTGTGTTTCTTTTGCTGGTTCATAGTTCCGTGAGAACAGATTCCTCACCCCAATCAATAATGACGTCCATAATCTCCTGCATGCTCCATGCCCGTGCTCCTCTGCAACCCTGGGAACCCATGGACAGGTGTGCTGCCTGCTCTGAGGTCTGCCAGCCACACTGGCCACACAGGAAATTAAATTCAAGTTTTCCTGGAGTTTCGCTTGTTCACCTGGAGAGCCGTAGAGTTGAAAGGAGTTCCAGACACCTCTCAGAGGCCAAGAACATTGACTTTCACAGTGCTGTGTCTGCACTACCGTAAAGTCGACCATGTAGCAGTTACTCCTCATGAAAGCAGAACAGGAATCGATTTTAACAGCCCTTACATTTGACAAAACAGGCTTGGACTCATTGTTTAGGAAAAAAACCCTAATGCGGCTAGGTTCAACCTAAACTCCCAATGCTGACCAGGCTTTACTGCTACAAAGAACACTTTTATGATAGCACTGCCAATGTCTAATCCCCACTAACAAACCCACAACACTGCAACCATGCCCTGGTATTACTAACAAACTTAAAGCCATGAAAATACACAAAGAAACAATGTTTCAAGACACTTCTTTCAGCTCTGAAACT